CAACATTCAACCGTAGAAAAATGGATAAAAGTTTGAAATGAAAATGTTTGTGTCTGTGAAAAAAAAAAAAGAGAAAAAAGAAGAGAGAAAGAAAATTGACACAAATAAGAAACGTAAAAAATTAAAAAGAAATTATAACGAATTAATATATTAATTATTATATAACGTAAAATAATTCTCAAGGTCGACTTAAGAGGTTATGTTCAAAAAATTCAATTACAATTTTAAAATATTCTTTTTATCTTATATATTCGTACAGTATAAATACATAAATAAATATATGCATACATATATATATATATATATACATATATAAATAAATAAATATATATATATATATGTATAATTAATAAATATTTAATAAACATAAAGGATATAATGTAGGGAACAAAAAGAAAGAGAATGAAAAATTACTATTATATATCATTATATATACTCGTATATAATCGGCAAGGATATATTTAAAAAAGAATTTAATAAATATAACGATGATATATTAATATTATCTTAAATCCAAATTAAATTAATATAACGTATAAAAAGGTGAGTTTTATCTATTTAAATTACTTATTAATATACATAATATATCTGTGTTATATTCGCAATAGAAACAGATAAAGAAAGAAAGAAAGAAAGAAAAAAGAAAAAAATTAGAGTCGATCCTTTTGACAGTCTGCCGCTTATACCGGCATTGGATGTATAATCATTATTAGCCATTACCATTGCTGGCATCCGTTCTGTAATTTTCCACAGTGTTTTTAATCTCGTTCAAAGGAATTCTTCAACTTCTATATAACAAGGAAATCTTTGTAGATACACACGCAATATACGTATGACGACGTACATACAAAATAAAAGTGATTGTTATATAAGTGCTCATAAAGTTAGGATATAAAGAAAGAAAGAAAAAGAAAGGGGGAAAAAAAAAAGAAACGCATCTTTAAATCTATACATTTTAAAACGTAATTAAAATGTAATTTATTATGTATGCATTTATAAACACACATATATATATATATAAATATGTATGATATGTATGTATGTGTATATGAATGTCTGTAAATTAAAAATCTCTTATGTGTGCGTATAAAAAAAAAAAAAAAAAAAAAAAAAAGAAAAAATGATATATTCTGATCGATTCAATTGATCCGATGAATAATACGTTTTTCGTATTATTTAATTTCGTCAAATTTGCAAACTTTTCAATGAATTCTTTAACTTTCAAATTTAAATATATATATATATATATATAATACATACATGTGCATGCTTATATGCATGTACATATACATATAACATAATCTTATAGTATAACCTTGTATAATCTTAACCTATCTCTTTTTCACATAATACGTATATTACCATACATTAAATATTTTAACATTATCTTCTAGATAATATATACTACATATGTATACATAATAAGGATCATTGATCTATGTCATTCTAATTTGCTGTAGATAAGTATAAAATTGGAAGAAATTTACATATAGACATATTCATACGTATCCATACGTATTTAAATAAATATACTTAACATATCATAAATATACATAAATATATATATGTACATACGTACTTAATATTTACATATATTTACTGACGAACTATATAAGCATATATATATATATATATATATATATATATATATATATAAACATATATTTCAAAGAAGAAAATAAAATAAACATTATGTCTAATTCGCGAAATTGACGCAAGGAGGTGTTAGTGTCGATGGTTGGTCGAATGGATGGATGATCTGGTTTAGTGAGTTATGGAGTGGGGAAAGAAGTAAATCAGATCGTTTATAAATATGAGACAAATTCTTGATGAGACGTATTTGTACCGTTGACACGATCGCTCTCCAACAAGGATCTATTTTGTCATCCATTAACGCGATTCATCATTACTTATCTTTCCTTTTTTTTTTCTTTTTTCCTTTTGTAACTAAAATCTAGTCTATTCCCATATATTTGTATATATATATATATATATATACATATAATTTGTAAGGAGTATCGATCTTTTATTTTCAATTGGAAAAAAGAAGGAAGAATAAAATGGTTTTAAACGTACCGGGCGTTAAGTTTTACAATGGCAATACTGTTCCTCAATTTGGATTGGGTACTTGGAAGGTATGTAAAAGAAAAAGAAAAAAAAAAAGAAAGAAAGAAAGAAAGAAAGAAAGAATGAAAGAAGAAAAAAAGAAAACAAAAGAAAGTATCATTCCTCTCTCTTTCTCTCTCTCTCTCTCTCTCTCTCTCTCTTTTGTTTTGTCAATAATATTTTGTTACGTAATTCTTCGATGTCACCGCTGTGTAGGTTGTCTTTTTTTTTTTTCGTTACTCAAAACTACGAACTAATCAATATCGTAGATAATACACCGTAGAACATATGTACATATGTATAGTATTATTTATATATATGTATGTATACATTTTTTTTTTTTTTTTCATGAATACATGCTAAACAAAATTTGCTTAGAATACGATCGATGCAAGGTCATTTGTATATTACTACGATAATACGTATAATTAAAAGACTGTTTCACTTTACGATATTATTATCGTTATATTTGAATTCTCATTCGAGGAACTATTACTATGTATCTATGAAAAAGATATTATTTGAAATAACATATTATTCGTGCTTTTTTTCTTTTTTTTTTTCATTTGGAAAAATTTTTTATTTTACGACAAAACCAAAATCAGTGACAACGATATGAAATATTTCAAATCTTTTTTACTCATCCTTTTATTTATATTTATTTATTTATTTATTTATTTATTTATTTATTTATTTATTTATTTATTTATTTATTTTTTTAGATTTCTTAATAAATTCGACGAGATAGTTTGATAATTGAAACGAAATGTTTTTCCTTTTTTTTTCTTTTTTTTTTTTTCATTTCCTAATTTAATTCTGATTTCATTGAAAGAATAAATAATAAATTTATGTGAAATAATAAGGATAAGTTTCCAAATTTTTTTTTCTTGTTTCTCTCTCTCTCTCTCTTTTCTTTCCCCTTTATTTTTTTTTTTTAAATTTTTAATCATGAATTTTATTTAGTTTTTCATTACTCTCATACTATGTTGATATATATATATATTTTTTTATCGTTTTATTTTTGTGTGTATGTGTGTGTGTGTAAATATAATATTTTAATATAATATATTTTTTATTTTAGTCAAAACCCGGAGAAGTTGTTCAAGCTGTTGAGGATGCCATAGATATTGGTTATCGTCACATTGATTGTGCTTATGTTTATGGTAATGAGAAAGAAGTCGGGAAAGCAATAAAAACAAAAATTGCAGAAGGAGTTGTCAGTAGAAAAGATTTGTTTATTACTAGTAAACTTTGGAATACCTTTCACCAACCCGATTTAGTAGAACCTGCTATTAAAAAAACATTGAGCGACCTTGGTCTTGAATACTTAGACCTATATTTAATTCATTGGCCTATCGCTTACAAAGAGGGCGATAATTTATTTCCAAAAAATTCTGATGGTTTTCCTGAATTTAGTAATGCTGATTACATTGACACATGGAAGGCTATGGAGGGTTTATTAAATAAAGGATTAACAAAGAACATCGGCGTCAGTAACTTTAATTCTGAGCAGATTAATAGATTACTTAAAAATTGTACCATTAAGCCGGTAACGAATCAAGTATGCATTCATTTTGATAAATTAATTATAAAATCCTTGATCAATTTGATTGTTAATAATTATAAATGTTTTCTCTTTTTTTTTTTTTTTCTTTTTTTTTGCCAGATCGAATGTCATCCATATCTAACGCAAAAGAAATTGTCTGATTTCTGTAAAGAAAAAGAAATTATAATTACCGCTTATAGCCCTTTGGGCTCACCAGATAGACCGTGGGCTAAGCCGGATGATCCAAAATTATTGGAGGATGCAAAATTGTTGGAACTTGGAAAGAAGTATAATAAAACACCAGCGCAAATTCTTTTGCGTTATCAAGTAAGTTGAATTCTTTTTATTAAAATAAAAAGGAATGATTAATATGAATATCATAATAAAAGAAATACATTAAATAATATATTACAGTTGGATCGTGGACACGTTGTAATTCCAAAATCCGTTACCAAATCACGTATCCTCGAAAATAGTAATATTTTTGATTTTCAACTTAAACCTGATGATATTGCATACATAGATTCTTTCGACTGTAATGGAAGAATTTGTCCGATGATAGGGTAAAATCATTTTTATATATATTTCCAAATTAATATTTTGTTAATATATTAAAATTATAATATTTTATTTTGTATTTTCAGATCTGAGGAAAGTCCTTATTTTCCATTTGCCATTCCTTTCTAATTAATACAACAGATAAGTAAGATTAGTTTTGATCGCGTTCATAAAGATATTACATATAATTATTTTTTAAATATGTGTATCGTAAATATTTCCTTTGTTAAATACATTTACAGGTACGTTCGTATTTTTCTACGCATGTATTTCGATATTAACAGATAATAAATTTTCGTTAAATAAAGAATCTCTCGTTTATAATATTTTAATGCAATTTGATGTCGTTGAACGAAAAAGAAAAAAAGGAAAAAGAAAAAAAGAAAAGAAAAAGAATTTATATATATATATATATATAAGTTTGTATGTGTGTATATATAGTGTCGAACAATGTAATTACATTATAAAATGCTTGATTGATATTTAATTGCAAGAACAGGTGGAGTTATCGTCGTTGTCCTCACAACCGCAAGAACAACACTCGCAATATTCTTCGTCGGTGTCACTATTGTTCATGGGAATAGATAATGATGATTCAGCTACCGGTTGATATCCTTTGTCCAATGGACATAATGGCCCAGCTCCACATTTGCATGGTGCATTAGATAATCCATAGGCACATTTTCCTTTGCAATTGCACCTACATTCATTTTTAATCTCCGATAAACGACATTTATTGCACGATAATGAATAAGAGTTATTAGACGTGATCTCAAAATCGCAAGGTGCCTTTGGACAATCTGCAAAAAAATATAAATTTTCTATGAATGATATTATATAGGAACTTCATTGCTTTCTTTATATATATATATACATACATACTGTTTATATATATATATTTCTTTTTGTTTCTATATATTTATATATACATATATATAAATTAGGAAATAGAAACGTACTTGATGTTAATATAGCACAGGGAGGAAGATCACATGGAAGATTAATTGAGCAAGGATTTTTCCGAATATTATTCGATTTTAATGGACGTACATTAGAAGACAACGTTCTCGAAGATTTTCTAGATTTTTTACTCGTCGAAACATTTTCTTGATCATATTTCTTCACGCAAATACATAATTTTGATTCCTACAATTTAAAATCAATTGAAAAATAATATATATATATATATATATATATATATATATATATATATTTATATAGTTTTGTTAAAAGAATTTAATATTTTATTATCGTACGTTATTCTTTTTATTTATCAAAATTAATCACTTTACTTTATTATCATGATCGGTCTTCTCCTCTAATTCATTTGAAATATCGATTCGATTTTTCAATGTCTTCGACGGTTCTATTTCTTTTCTTTCAATCTTCGATGGCTTATCTCGTATTATTTGCTTCGAATTTTTAACAGGCTTAGTCGTATCTATAGTATGCTATAAATAATAATTTTTCTTTTGTATGTATGTATGTATGCATGTATGTATATAATGTATGTTCCTTAATCTCATTGAGTCGAAAAACAACATTTGTTGTTTTTGATTTGGTGAAACAACATTTTTAATTGAAGAATTGGATCAATGAAAAATATTTAATTAAATATTAGTAATATTTGGAAAAATATTTATTTTGCAAATGAAATCTATACTTTTGCAAATGCAAATTCAACGTTTCAAAATTATTGATGGATTTTTTTTTTTTTTTTTTTTTTTTTTCATTATCGCTAATTCAGTGCATAAAGTTGTTCAAGTTTTTTTTTTTTTTTTGTTTCTTTTTGTATTTTTTTTTTCTTTTTTTTTTACTTTTGATTTATTACTAACTGATAAAAACTACTCAAGAACACGTAAAATTAATTATTAACGTATAATGTATGCGGTTTGATATAAACGTGATATTTATTCCTTCGCACATCAATGTCAGAATTTCAATATAAATATTTTACGAAAACACAAATTGACAATAATATCGTTTTGATTTTGATAATGCGTTTTACAATGCTGTTGATACGATCAAATTAAAAAAAAAAAAAAAAAAAAAGAGAAAAAAAAAGGAAAGGAAAGTAAAAAACGATATGATTTGATTTTGATTCGTTGCAGTATTGCATTATATATTGATCGTACATGCGATAAAATCTTTGCAATTCGAAAAATCAGACTTCATTCTAGATAAGAAAGATTGAAAGAAATATTTAGATGAATTATTTTTCGTTTTTTTTTTTCTTTGTTTTATTTATCTTTTCGTATACGTAATCATACGTACCTATATAATTAGGAATTACGTTGAGTTTTTAACTCAACGAATTACGAATTACGAAAATTTGGAATTTTTTAATAACAAAGATTTACATTCGATTATATATTCTTTTTTTCTTTTTTTATTGTTAAGGCTTAAGAAGAAACGTTATTTTAGAAAGAATTAATTCGCGAAAGGGAAATGAATTTGATTTCGATTTTGCGAAGAAAGAAAAAGAAAAAAAAAAGAGAAGTTTGAATTCGATTTTGCAAAGATTCGAATTTCAATTGTAAAAGTAGAAAAAGAAATTCTTGAATTAGATTTGCAAAGGTTCGCATTTGAATTGTAAAAAAAGAAAAAGCAAAGAAAAAAAAAAAAACAAAAAGAAAAGATTGAATTTGATTTGCGAAGGGTTCCAAATGTGAATTGCAAAATAAAAAAAAAGAAAGACGGATTGAATTTGATTTATGAATGTTCGAATTTGAATTGCAAAATTTATATAACAAAATGTGCATACGTGTGTGTGTGCGTGTGTGTATGTATAAAGAAAAAAAAAAAAAAAAAGAAAAAAAAAAGAAAACAGGAAAACGAAATTCACTAACATCACTCTTTTTCCGCACGAGTTCCTTCTTTAATTGTTGTATATTGTTTTTGTAAAATTGCAACGCGCAACACATCTTCCTCTCGTTAATCTCAAGATCTTGAATGCGTTTAAGCATCTTATTGTTACCAGAAATATTTTGAAATTCTTTTGATGCGAGCAAACGATCCAATTGTTCAACATAAAGAATCTCCTTTTCTTCCAATTGCTTTATACAATTTTTTAATTCTAACTCGTCCTTAGCTAACTGATGTATTTTCGTCAAACAAATGACATCATCCGAATTAATCGACTGTAAGCTCGTACATTGATAACAACGAATTTCCTTTTCAATTTTGTCAGCTTGATCGTTCATCTCCTTATTCGCCAATTCGAGGGATTCCAATTCTATATCGGTTTCCTCCAATTTAACGTCGGCATCGATAATTTTGTCCTTAATGGGGGAAAAGGAAGAAACAAATAAAAAAAAAAAAAAAAAAAAAAAAAAAAGAAGAAAATATATAATTAGTAATTACGATGATCCTAAAATGCATTTAATCTTCGATTGTTATTGGCTTCGGTTATTACCAATCGATCGGATTAAATCAAATCAAATTATATTAATCAATCACTCAATCAATCAATCAATCAATCAATCGATCGATCGATCGATCGATCAAGTAAACAATGAAAACGAGAGAATATTAGACAGTTCTGAATTATAAGCGGCAAATTATGTGATCCTTCTTCTTCTTCTTCTTCTTTTTTTTTTTTTTTGTTTTTCTTTTTCCTTTCTTTCTTTTTTCGTTTATACCGACGTAATTTATGTACCCCGTAAGTCGTCGTAATTTTTTCTTTTTTTATTCTTTCTTTTCTCTCTCTCTCTCTCTCTCTCTCTCTCTCTCTGTTTAATTTTCTTTTTTTTTTTTTTGACTTGACTTCGCATACTGACGAGATTTTATTACCCCGTTGTTAATCGTCGTATGTTGAATTTCAATCGGGTCGTACGTGCAACTCCGTCGTCTCCATATTGAGATCCTTGACGGTGCTCTTTAAATTACGAAGTAGCTTTTCGGTTGGATCTAAGTCGGGCGATAGCTTATTCATGATTTCGCGAATTTTGCAAAATGGTGGATCGTCGCAGGTCTTCCCGGATTTCCACATGTTGTACGCCATAAGGGCCGGTATTGATCTCTCCATCGTCGTGATTTTTTCTCTGAGATATCTATGACGTCCCGTTAAATCGCAATGACGTTCTTCTATACTCGCAGCAATTTCTTCAAAATATGGTTTCGATTGTCGTCCGTTCATTCTCGTTTCGGATTTAGTACCTGAAATAACATGTTTATACCATTAATAATAATCATTGACGTTAATAATTATATAATGACGGTCTTAACGAAAACGTTACACATCTTTTGAGATTCTATTAAAATAAATCGATTTTACACTATAATATATATTAGGTTGGAAACTATGAAACGGGCGGTTTTGTTTAGTTATTTATTTTCATTCAACGCCCGTTTCATAGTTTCCAATCTAATATATATAATATGTATAATATATATATATATATATATATATATGTGTAATCGATATATTTTGATATATTTAGATTAGTTATACTTTGTCAATAATTTCCTTAATTTTGTAGTACAATTTCTAAGAATATTTTTTTAAATTAATATAATATTCCTCCGTCAAGTATTATCGATATTTAAGATTCAAAAAAAAAAAAAAAGAAAAAAAAAACAAAGAAAAAAAAGTACACTTTTGTATATTTCTTTTTTCTTAAACATTAGTTTTACTTCTGAGATAATATTTGACATTTTAATTGATACAAATTGAATAATAAAAATTTTTTAACTGCTCGCGTTATACCATCGACGTATTTTATTTGGGAAATTGTAAAAATTTGTTTAATGAGATATCTCATTTAAGAATCGAATAAAATCGTAAGTATTTACGATCGAATTTATAAAATAAAATAATATTCACGTGGTTCAGAGTTTTGAATCTGTTATTGATTTTGAATATGTAGAAAGCAATATCATTGGCTACGATCGCGCCATCTAGATTTGATCTATTTCACATTTTCCTTTTCTTTCTCTCTCTCTCTCTCTTTCTCTCTCTCTCTCTTTTACTTCTTAATTCACGTAGTTCGTATCTCATTCTCTCTTTCTCTTTTGCTCCATACTTCACGTTATATATTCTCCTTATCTTTCTCACATTCTTTCTTTTTTTTTCTCTCTCAGTTTATCTATCTATCTCTCTCTCTCTCTCTTTCTCTCTCTTTCTCTCTCTCTTTCTCAAAAACCTTGAAGTTTTATAACTAATATTTTCGCAAGTTAAGAGTTAGCTCAAACATTCCTGTTGATTTGTAAAATGCGATTATATTAAATTTTATTTTAATTGAAATAGATGTAATAAGTGTTCTTTTGAGAATTAAAAAATGTACATAAAATAAATAAAAGTTTTATATCATTAATGACAATAATACATGTGTACATTTATACGCATATATATAGTCTTTCCGTTTGACTTTTAACGTCGAAAATAATCGATTGCAAATGTTAAAACTGACATACGTATGCATAAAATTATAGCTACATATTTGTAATGATATACGTAAGTATATATATATACATATATATATATATATAAATTTTTTTTAATATATTTTATTTATATAAGTCACTTACCAATTTTATGTAACGTCGCCATGATAGTTTGAAGAATTCGAAAGATTCGATGGAAAATTTAGATAGGTCGTTGATTTCGTTAGAAAGCCATAAATTTTGTTGACATCAAACAACAATTTTCAATCGACATTACTGATAAAAGATTAGCGTGTTATATACATAATATATATATATATATATATATATATATATATATATGTATTTATGTATTTATGTATTCATGTAAAACGTATGCAATGTTAATTGGCCATTGATATATTGCCGTCAATTTCAAGTCATATAAATACATGGTAAGATATTTTCAAACTATTTTACCGACATTTTAACTACATTACCGACGGTAGATAAGACGACGAAGTGGATTAATACGTCGAATTAAATGTGGATTATTTGATTCAATGAAGGATAGAAACGAAATCGAGCGGATGTCATTCTCGATGTGACAATAAAATATGACATAATTTGTGTGCGTCAATGTCATAATAATCGCAATGCCGAAAGACATTATATTGCGTTTCTTGTTAGATTATTATATAAATAAATAATTTATATAATTAAGAGAAATTAAAGAGAGAAGAAGAAAAATTAATAAAGTCGGCGTCCATAGAAGGAGAAACGACGAAAAAAAATCTGGAGCATAATCAAGATTGGAAAAATGTTGTCCCTTCTTCTCCGGATTTAAAGTAAAATAAAAAAAAAAAGTTTTTTTTTCTTTATAAACTTTTTTGTACTAAGCATTAATTTCTCCTTCTTCTTCTTTTTTTTTCTTATTTATCTTTACTCATTTATTTTTTATATAATTATCTATACAGGTTTGATTAGAAATCAAATTTGAGTATACTTTTTGTTAGAAATAATAGAATATAATATATATATATATATATATATATATATATATATATATATATATAATATAATAAATATTATTAATATTTATGATATAATATATATAATTATATATATAATATAATATAACAAAAATATATATATTTATAATATATATATATATATATATATATATATATATATATATATATATATATATAATATAATGTAATGTAATAATTATCCTTTCTTTTTTACGCTATTTACCTAATGAATGGTACTGAATTTGCTCAATGACTGTAAGGAATCGAATTAAACGAATTATTATTATCGTTACTATTATTACTATAATAATAATAATAATAATAATAATAATAATAATAATAATAATAATAATAATAATAATTATTATTATTATTATTATTATTATTTATTTTTATTATTATTCATATTATTTATTTGTATTATTTATATATTTGTTACTATTATAATTATTATTATTTATATTTATTATAATTATTTACATTTTTGTTATAATAATTATTATTATTATTAAAGTCGGGATGATAAATGGATCGATTTGGTGCGTCAATGTAACGGAGAAGATGATAAGACCTCATTAACTACCGTAACAAGCACGATACAGGATAGCATTTTAAGCACACAATCGCAATCAATAAAATCGATCTATGATAAGAGAAGAGATTTCGAAGGACATGTACTTCAACGATCATGTGGTGGTCGGGTATTTAGTTATCGGAAAAAAAAGGCTTCGATTGGAAACGGAATTTTTAGTGCTCCAGCTGGAGTCAATCCTCACCACGTTGCTTCCTCGATTGTACGACGAAACACAGGTGTGTTTTTGTACATACATATATATATATATATATATTTATATATATATATATTTACATATAAAATATATACAAAAATATATATATATCAAATATATATAAATATATAAATATTTAAATATATAAATATATAAATATATAAATATATAAATATATAAAAATATATATCAAATATATCAAATATATATAAATATATAAATATATAAATATATAAATATATATATATCAAATATATATAAATATATATATATTTCATTTATTTGTCCTTTGAATAAATTTTTATAAGTGTAACACACTTTAGTTTGTGACTCGTAATATGTAAATAAGTAAATAAGTAAATAAATAAATAGATAAAGAAATAAAGAAATAAAGAAATAAAAAGAGTAATAAAAAAATAAATGAATATGAATGAACGAAAAAATATTAATATATATATATATATATATATTTATGTATATGAAAGGGTTGAAATTTGAAGATAAGTTTTATCATCTTTATATTTTATTTTTAATATCTTTTCGTTACATTTCATTATTCTCAAAATATTGAAAGATTATTCATATCGTAGAATTTTGATTTGCAATATCAAACGAACGAATGATTCGCGAATTTGATTTGCAAAATCAAACGAACGAATGATTCGTTACTTTGATTTTTTAAGAATTAAATTAGAAGTATCAAATCTTAATACTTAATATTATTTATTTATTGGATTAATGATATGAATAAACGATTGTATAAATTGTATCCATTAAATTATCTTCTTTCTTTTTCTTTCTTTTGTTTCTTCTTTTTTTTTTTCTTTTTTTTTTGTTTCCTTTCTCTTCTTTTCTTTCGTTCCCTTTCAGGCGGTTCAAGATTGATATTTATATGGCCACAAAAAGTACGTACAAGGGGAAGATTTTTGAGCATTTTTGCACCACTTTTGCACGGTTTTTTGATCGGATTATTATGCATGGACGCGATTCATCTCTGGCCTGGAGAATTTTTACCGACGTCCCTTCCGACCACTACATCCATACCATTGCCACCAGTGAAATGTAACGTGATTGAGCCCTCTTGGTTCGACACCACATGAGAACGATTGTGAATGATTTTTTTGAGAACGAAAAAAGGGAGAAGAAAGAAAAAAAAGACAGATAAAAAAGTAAAAACAACGACGAATTTTTGCGTTTCATTAATATCGAGAAATCTAATAGTCTCCTGTATTTGTTTAAAAAAATTTCGGATAAAAAAGATTTCATTTATTTTTATGTTATCCTTCGTACAAATTATCTAAATAATAATTACAGTCGGACATAGAAAGTATGACCAATGTACACACGTTTACTTCTTTTCTTTTTTTTTTTCAATTTCTTTTTTTGCCTTCTTTGTTTTTCCATCAAATGTTTTTTTCCTTTTTTTTCCCCCCCCCCTTTTTTTTCTGGTGACCTGTCGTTTTTTTCTTATATGTACTTGCGAACAGTCATAGAGTCATTTACATTTTGATCGATTTTTCAAATTGAATAGTTCTCTAATTCGAGTATATTTCAAATATAGGAGAAATATAAATTCACGAAAGAGAGAGAAAGAAAGTGAGAGAGAGAGAGAGAGAGAGAGAGAGAGAGAGAGAGAGAGAAAAGTATTGTTTTTTCTTTTTTTTTTTTTCTTTTTTTTGTTTAAATACAAATTTTGTAATATCAGGTAAAATTATATTCGCATGATAAGAAAATTATATTCAATTTGTAAATTTTACTATCGTTGTCGTGTTTTCGACCAAAAGAAAAAAAAAAAAAAAAAAAAAAAAAGAAAAAAGAAAACGAAAAACAAAAAAAAGATACAAGCGTAGGATGACATAACGATAAATATCACATGATCACGTCGAATATTATTTATTGATATTTATAGTAATAAGGGAAAGAAAATATTAATTAAACGTATTTAAGATTATCTAATAGTAAATGCTGTTGTAACCAATGTAAAACAATCGTCCTTGAAATTTTAATGATCGAACAGTAAGATCATTTTTAGTATAAAAGAACATATAAGTTCTGTATTATTTTTAAAACTACGCGAAATAACGAAACGAATCGTATTTTTAATATATAAGTCATATAACATTATAAAATGTTATGATTATTTATGATTATTTTAATTGCTTTTTTAATGGTTATACTTATTAATATATTATCGAAGTTGTTATATTTATTTAAAATGATTAATAGAATACCTGGTGATAATGCCATAATCGATATAATCAGGTTAACGAAATACGGTAAGGTTATTTTCTGATTAACAATTATATATATATATAATAATTACATATTATTATGCTATTATATATTATATTATAAATATTACATATATATATATAATATTTACATATATATATATATATATATATATATATGTAAATATAATGATCGATTATCGAATTTACATATGGTGATAATCGTTAAAATAATGTACTTACGTATATTATTTTACGAAGAAATCAAGAGAAGAAGAAAAAAAAAAGAAAAAAAAAGAAAAAAGGAAATAGGAAGCACAAGTGAAATAGACCTGAAATTTTTTTTTTTAATTTTTCTTTTTTTTTTTTTCTTTTTTGTTTTTTAGTATATTATAAAACCTTTTGTCAAAATGCGCTTCGATATAAATAAGGGAATTATATATTATGGAAATCGAGCAATAGTATATATTTACAAGCCTCGAATATGCACAGGTACGTAGATATAAAATAAAGAATGCGTTAGAGAATTTCAATTTCAAAAATTGCGAAGAAACAAGAATTTAAATCCATGTCGAAATTAAATTTTATAATAATAATAATAATAATTATAATAATTATTATTATTATTATCATTATGATTATTATTACTATTATAATTGATGTTAAAGAATTGATATGAAATTCTATTCCCTTTATTTATTTTTCTTTTTTTTTTTTTTTTTTTTGACATATACGTTTCTCTATAAATAAGTATTATTAGAAAATATAAAATATTAGATGGATTAAGGATTCTTCGATATAAATTCAATTCTTTGCAAATTCAATTCTTTAATTCTTGAATTCTTTCAAATTAATATTTTTCAATATTTAACAGCAATATTTATGATTCAACTTTTTAATGGTATTATGTAACGATTAATAACGTGATTAGGATTACGATATTATTGTTTCTGTTAGTTTTTGAACATTGTTATATTTGACAATCGAATCTATAGTACAAGATAAGATTTCTAAGAAACTTAAGGATTTACTCGACGAGTTGGACGTTTGACTAAATGAAAATATTAATTATAATAATAATAATAATAATAATAATAATAATAATAATTATTATTATTATTATTATTATTATTAATATTAAAATCAGGATGATGAATGGATCGATTTGGTGCGTCAATGTAACGAAAAAAAATATAAAAGAGTTCAGTAAACTCATTCGTGATAAGCACGATACAGGATAACATTTTGAGCAAACAATCGTAGTCAATAAGATCGACTTATGATAATAGGAGAGATTTCGAAGAACACGTACTTCAACGATGGTCGGATATTTAGATATCGAAAAAAAGGCTACCATAGAAAACAGAATACAT